TGTGTGTGTGTGTGTGTGTGTGTGTGTGTGTGTGTGTGTGTGTGTGTATGCATGCGTGTGTGTGTTTTGGAGCATGTGTGTGAGACTTCACATCCACATGAATATAGAAGTTAGAGGGGAGTGTTGTCTAACCTCAAGGGGCCATCCACTTTGTTTTTTGAGACAGGGTCTCCCAGTAGTCTGGAAGTTGTCCTTTAAGCTAGACTGACTGGCCCAGGTTCCACCTGTCTCTTCCTCCCCAGGGCTGGGATTGCAAACATATGCCGCCGTGTCTGGTTTTTCCATGTGCATGCTGGGAATGGACTCAGATTCTTATGCATGCTAAGCACTTTATTCAGTGGGGTGTTTCCAGTCCTGTGTTTTTTTTTTTTGATTGTTCTTTTTATTCACCCTACCTATTATTTCCTAATATTACTTCCTAATAGGTAGGTGAATAAAATAGACTTACTCTTCAGCATTTTTCTATCTTCACGGTATGAGCGTTTTTGTGACTTCAGCTCCTTGATGACAGGGGTAATGCTGTTTTATTTAGTAAGTATTTATTGAGCCTGACAAATGTCCTCTGGGGTCACTAAGGTAGGAACACAAGAAAGATTCTATTTGGGAGACATTAGTATCAGGGTGATAATAGTTCATCTAGTCATTAGCACAAAGAAACTTTTATTAAGCACTTACTCCATGGCAGGCCTAGGAGTATTTGGCACCAAGTAAATGTCAATTCATTTAGCTCAAATGAATGAACAAAGAAATGAAGTACCATTTCTCTGATGATGAAGTCTAAGTTTACGAACATAACCTGATTTTGTTCTTAGCCTGTGTGGGAACCTTGAGGGTCAGCTTTTCTTCTTCCACATAGAAATGATAGCAAGAAAGCAATCAGCCAGTCACCAAAAACAAGGCACCGAAAGCTGCTTAGCTGATCCATGTGTCTCGGTATCTGTGGAACAGGGGACCTGAGAAGAATGTTGATAAATGTGGGGATGTAAGTGGGGTAGAGGAATATATCTAGGAAATAGAGAACAAGAAGGAAGACTAAAAACTGATGTACAGAGGGAAAATGAGGCAAGCAAACAAAAACTGATCTTGCTGTTCCTTACATACCAGTTAAGGCCCTCAGCCTGGAGGAAGTAAAACTAAAGACTGAGATGGAGAGATTGAAAGAATTAAAATATGGTTAAAGAATAAGTAAAAGGTATATTTTCCAAGGCTAGGTAAGTTTAGAATAGTTTTACAGCAATGTGAATTTGCATGACATTTTGTCAGAACTCAGATGATCTTTTTTTTTTTTTTTTTTAACCCGTTTGGCTTTGCCATGTAGAGTCAATACGGACATATGTTGGGGAATATTATTTTCAGGTGTGTGACTTTTGTTTACTCTGCATTTGTTTAACTCTGTGAAGCTGTGCTACTGTGCCTGTCTAAAACACCTGAGGGTCCTAATAAAGAGATGAATGGCCAATAGTGAAGTAGGAGAAAGGATGGGGGGACTGGCAGGTAGAGAGAATGAATAGAAGGGGCAACCTGAGAGGAGGTGGATATCAGGGGGCCAGCCTCTCAGCCAGTCATGGAGTAAGAAGGGAAAAAAAGATATACAGAAATAGAGAAAGATAAAAGCCCAGTGGCAAAAGGTAGTTGGGATAATTTAAGATGAGAGCTCACCAAGGCCAGCTGGACTGGGACTGAACGAGCATGTGATCAAACCGGATTCTCTGAATGTGGCTGACATGGGGGCTGACTGAGAAGCCATTTACAATGGCACTGGGTCTTGTTTCGTCTGCATGGACTGGCTGTTTGGGATCCTAGTCTGTTTGGATGCTCACCTTCCTAGACCTGGAGGGAGGGGGGAGGAACCTGAACTTCCCACAGGGCAGGAAACCCTGACTGCTCTTTGGACTGGAGAGGGAGGAGAAGAGGG